TACATGCAGTTGTTACATGCAGATACATGCAGTTGTTACATGCAGATACATGCAGACACATGCAGTTGTTACATGCAGATACATGCAGTTGTTACATGCAGATACATGCAGTTGTTACATGCAAATACATGCAGTTGTTATCAGCTGGCCTCCATTTGTGATATGTTTCTCAGCATCACTTCCAAACATGAACGATCCTTTTCTTACTTATTTTTGTACTGATATGAATCAGTTACCGACTTGTTCCTATTGAATCCACATTCATCAAATCCCCTTACTTGCTATCCTCATCTCTTCTCTTTCTTATGCATTATTTTCCTTATCAAACTTTCCTCATTTCCATCCTTTATTGTCCCTTTCTCTACATGTAATAACATCATCTGGTTATAACTGCTCAGTCCTTTCTTCTTTGATCGTTTAGGAAAAATTGTGCATTTCTTATAATCTTCTGAGAACCACGATATTTTGCGTAGAATCAGGTCAGCACTGAACCAATTTGAGTTTGTTTCTCTCACTTTTTGGGTACGTCTTCATGGATTCGGACAACTTAACGTCGCCAGAAGCATATCAAATCTCGCATCCAATCTGCTGACAGTTTTACTCATTTAGTGAGAAGTTTCAGTAACTTCCCCCGAGAATCGGCAACATGACTCTTTCCCTATTCAGTTTGACATTCTTGTTTGATTTTTGGGATTGTGACTGAAAAGCCGTAACGATACCTTTTGTTTTATTTGGTTTCTATAAGTGGCGTATTAGGTACAATTGCTTTTACACAAATTCCAAGCTCGATAATAAAATATTAATGAAAAATTCGATTTTCATGAAAAATTTCTAACCAAAATAATATCAATGCTCAATTGAATACTGTTGAGTATTGGAATATTGAGTCAGATTCTAAGAGTAACTTTATTCGATGCACAGTTTCACAGTCAAAATTCTGGATGCTAATGGTGACAGGAATAAAACCGATAGAAAAGCATAATGTAACACATAAACATTTTACGAGATAACAAAAAAAAAGTTGAAAATTGCAAATTGAAACAGTACCAATAGTAATACAAATAGTAATTTTTCCCTAATCAGGGATAAAAATATTCTCATTTTAGGATAATACAGAGAATGAGCAGAAGCCGACAAGACGAAGGTGGAATTTAGAACAACTCCGAGCCGGTGATACTTTTCTTTCGTTACAAGCTGCTACAAATAAGTATGATTCGCAAAAAGGTATGACTGCGCCCGGCATGCCGCGATGGAATATAACCAAGGACAAGCATCTTGGGTTTCAATTTTTTTTTCAAAAGCTTAAAAAGCTATTGATTTTTAAAAATTCTATGTTCTGAGCAGATCAATGTAAACAATCAAGTCATAAAAAGCATGGCTTTTTATGACTGAGAAAAATACCTGAAAAACACAATGGCGTTAGGAAATTCATTTGCTCAGAAGTTTTGAAATGTAAGCCGTGATACGAAATAAACACTCTGGTAATGTTCAAAGAGATGATGTTTGTGATGTGATTCGTGAAAATCCCGATAGAGAGGAAGTAGCTCGCTGTTTCAGTTTCATAAATCCTGACCGGAAAAGTGAAGAATTGCTGACAGCACAATACGGAAGCAACCAATATGCATCGCAAAAGGGTATGGTTTAAGACTTTGTTGATGTAAAGCATCTCCTGTACTTCTTAGAGTTGAAAAAGTTCTTTCTCAGCGGTAAATGTTAATAATTTATGATGAACAATTGAGATATCGCAACGTTTACGTAATTCAACCGTATTCCATATGCTATTCCAGTAATTTTATACTCAATAATCCCATTTTTAGGTCTAACACCGATTGGTGCATCAAGAAACCAAATATTAAAAGTAGAATATAAAAAAGACTGGGGGACAGTACTTGATAAACAAAGTGAAAAACTTATACCTAAGCAGTCTGGTGATTACGGAATGGCTACGCAATCCGGAGAAGTTTTTTATAATGTTTTGATCGTGCAAAAAAAATTAACATAAGTTTTTTGAGTTAGATTATCAAAATTTTTAGCGTTCGATGGGTTCTCACCGTAATCAAGTGCCGATTATTAGAGGACGTTTACCACGGGATCGGCGTACACATGGTGTATTGTGTTATCAGTATGGTAGCAACATATTTGCTTCTCAACAGGGTATGAATGCACCGCCTGGAATCGGTGCAGTTCGACAAGCTACCATGGAAATCGAAGGACTTGGTTTTACGTTAGTTCTATAAAAAGCACTTCATTTGCAACTCAGTTGCTAGTATTGTCATTAGGGTTACGACAAAAAGGACTCTGCTGAAACAAGTTAAATTTTACTAAGTTAGCCAAGTAACTGAATAATCTTTTTTTTTCTCACAGAGAGGATGGTTTACGAAAGGGCACTGCATTTACACCGTGGTACTCGGGACAAAACAAATTTGCCAGTCAATCAGGCACTGGTGGTTTTCTGAAAATTCGTGATGTATTACCAAATTCGAAGGTATTTTTCATTGTTTTACCTAAAAGATCTTAAGCTAGATCAGATATAGCTTTAACTATTTTGACATTACTTCTATATCTCTACACTTTGGAAGTATATGTGGAAAAGTTGAATTATACGACTAAAACAAGTTGTAACACGGCCAGAAGTGTTGACATCCATAGAGTAAGTACAGAAGCTTATATTGGAGAACCATTTATTTTTGATTTTAGATTTTGTTATAAAAATTATTATGTAAATGAAATTGGAGTGAAATTTTGTTGTCATAAAATTAATTTCAGTGAATGGTATCACATTCTTGAGTTCACTCATTGAAGTAATGTTTTAGGGTGGTAAAGAAATTGATGAAGCGCTGAAAATTAAATCAGAGGGCATAGTACCACTTCAGGCTGGTACCAACAAACTTGCATCTCAGAAAGGCATGACAGGCTTTGGAACACGAAGAAATGTACTGCTAAAGCAAGCGTGGAAAAAAGAATGGTAACTTTTGTTGAGATCAGTAAGGTAGCTATATTTTTTTTACACTTAAAGCTTTTATACTTAAAACAATATATTTTTATACTTAAAATATTTCAAAGACTTTTAATCCATTCTGAAATTGAATCCAACTAAATTTCCTCTACTTCTAAACTTGATGTACTTCAGGATTGAAGAGTATGAGCAGGCGCTACGGGAATTTGAAGATATTCTACCACTTGGCTCGGCAACTGCCGCTGATTCATTTGGACATTTCAAACAGGAATTCGAGAAAAGGAGAGATGTTAGAAAGATATTTGGATTTCTTGAAATTTTTTACAGATGATTATGAATAAGATCAATCTTAAAAGTTTGATATGCAGTGTTAGCGAAAATTGCGGTATTCCGATTAGTTGAACAATAGAAACTCAGGAACTGACAAATAAATTTGCACATTAAGAGAATTCAGAAGTCTAAGCCAAGGATAAAAATAGGACTGCTGTTGACAGCAGTAAAGTTACACTTGAAATCTCGTCAAAATTCAAAAAGATTTTTGCAAATAACGATAGTTAAAAGAAAAAGGTCTGAACAGTCATACCCATCTCATTTTTCGTCACAATCCTTTGCTCATTGACGATCTAAAACTGATCTATGCGAAGAAATTAAATAAGAAAAAATTGAGCGTTGTAGAAATTCTTGATCACAATTATTACAAATATGGTAAATGAAAAGGGGTGAAGAAGTTAGGGGAAAATGTTCCGCTTGTAGTAGGAGGGAAACTCTGATGTGAAAAAATTAAGATGAGATACTTTTTATTTTGCCATAGATATGAGACATCGTTGAGACTCAAATTGGTGATGGCTATTCGTGATAAGAAGAGTATTCTGCATGAAAGGATCACAATGTGATAGTAACTGTGAGTTTACTGTAAAACTTCAAAATACTCGCTGTCTGTGTTGTGATAGTTTTAACGTTAGGCATTTATTCATTGAAAACAGATAGTTTCCGATGTCAAAGTTTTAATGGGTGAATGTAATCAATATGTGATAGCTCAGTTATGTTCACAACTCTCAGATCCTTCAGTATTAATGAAGGAATGTATTGTACAACAATATTATGATTAGAGCAGTTAGACCTTAATAATGGCTTTTAAGGAAGTTTGGATGCCTATAGTAAGTATAAGCTTTCAGGCGGAAGAAAGCAAGACTGAGGAAGAAATGGAAGAGAAGAAAAGCAATGCAGAAGAGGAAAACTCTTAAACGATTTTATTTATTTAGAAATATAAGATAATAGTGAAATTTGACGCAGAACCTTTTATTACAGGTGGAGAAGTCAATAGAAAATAGAGAGAAGGAAGAATATGAAAAGGAGGAAGAAGAAGAAGGAGATGACGAGGAAGAAAATGAAAAGGATGAAGATGAAGGAGATGACGAGGAGGAAGAAGATGAAGAGATAGAAGAAAATGACGAAGAAGAAATGGAGGAAGAAGAATAATTCATAATAATATTCCTTCAACGCTCATATATTTTAAGTTGTATTGTTTAGATGAAGCAACTTGGCTGATGCCTGTGATAAAATTAGAAAAAGAACGACATCGGAATAAATGATTCATAATATCCCGAAACTGTTTCGCATTGACGATTAGATGCGTTATTTGCATAGTTCACCTTGATTTTCACACCTTAATTTCGGTTCTCTGATGGAGTGCATGACTTAGTTTCCTGAATTTGAATCTCTGCATGAAGATGAATTTTTTCGGAAACAGGATTATATTGTCCCACTCAATTGTTGTTGGTCAAGTGTCAATTAATTTCAGGATAAAACACCACTTAACCTTTCATAGCTCTGCAGATGGTAGCAACTGAAGAGATTGAAGCGCAATTATTGCGCATAATTGGTGACAAAAAAGAATTTCAAATTTGAAGATGGTCATCACTTTACCCTAAAAATAGAAAAAAAAAATGCGAAGATGGCAAAAAGAGCACTTGCTAGCACGCTTCTTCTATATTTACACACTGCTGGTGCATTTCGAGATTTGCGAGATTATTCGGACGATCCGTCAAGAACTTTACCTATATCTCGTGTGCAAAAAAATTTTTCAACAAGTATCTGAACACTGCCTAAAACCCAAAACTGGTCTATATTGCTATACAGATCGACTATGGTAGCAAATAGTACTCGCCGATATGAAAACTAGAATGTGCATTTCCATTCCCAGTATCGCGAATTTTTACTCGTGAGACTCCAACCATACAAAT